GTCGCGCTCAGCCGGCGCCCACTTCCCTCAGCCCGCCTCCGTGCTGCCTTAAGCGCCCTCGGCCCATCTGATCTTGATACCATTCCTGCTCTAGCACTTTGTCCCACGTGAAACCCATCCCCCACACTCCCTATTTCTCCTGCCCTGAAAATTGTGTTTTGAGCAGTCGAGGAGCTACGTGTTGGTATGTTGGGGTGGTAGGTGTTTAGGTTCTTTGGTGGAGTGGGAGGAAGGAATCGAAGGTCAACCCCACTCAGTTCCTCATTCATTTCTGCCTCCATTGACTTTCTGGATGTACACCCATTATGGGAGGCTTTAGAAAAATTCAGCACTTGGACTGCGTCTTCAAGGTAATGAACTCGGTGGGCTTCCACGCAAATGCCTCGGGTTGTTTGAAGCAGGCGGCGGCGTGGGAAAATCCACTTCTTTGTTTATCTGTGGAAGCCCTAGAATCCGTCGTGTTTGGGTGGTGTATTGACTCCTCCCCCGCTTCCCATTGGGCCTTGCTTTTGCTATTTGATCTTGTCCAAATCTTGCCTTTTGGTGAGAGATTGACCTTTCTAGTTCAGTTGCAGTAAGAGAAAGTGTATTTATCTAGCAAAGAAATGTGCAAATATAAAATTATTTTTAAGCTTCACTGAAATAGTGAATAGGAACAATGGAACGTTTGCAGTATATGTTTTGGAGTCAGGGGAACAAAATAGAAGCAGAATTATTTAATGAGCCCAAATACTGGAAGGCAATGATGTCATAATGTGCTAGTGAACAGGAAATTGAAATGCTTGAAGTATTAAAACTACTGACTGCTACGCCTAGGTAATGTAGCATTTCGTTTCTTGGGTTTCACAGAAAATGTAACATTTTGAAAGACTTACTGGCAAAATTTAAATTTGTTAGAGGATGATGAAATTGGAGTGAAAAGATGGTTGTGTTTGTATGTGTTCTAACGACTGCTTGACTTTAAGGTATTCTTTATCTCTCAGGGAAAAGCATAGAAAGATACCAACGAGGGTGTGGCCTTATTTAGTGTGGTGTTAAAAAAATTCCAGGCAGCATAAGTTTTGTTTTTTGTTTTTTTTTTTTTTAACGTGGCTGTGTATTTACAAGTAAAAGGATGGATATTTGAGATTGTACCATGGCATGCAAACTGTTCATTGGACTTTTAATGCTTTTTCAAATTTTAATTCCAGTTTGACATAGTGTTATATTAGTTTCAGAGGTACAATACAATGATTCAACAATTCTCTACTCAGTGCTCCTCACTATAGGTATAATCTTAATCCCCTTCACCTGTTTCACCCGTCCCCTCCCACCTACCTCTGGTAACCACCAGTTCCCTATAGTTAAGAGAGTGTTTTTTTAAAAGGTTTGTGTCTTTTATACCTTGCTCATTTGTTTCTTAAAGATTTTTTTATTTTTATTTATTTAAAAAAAATTTTTTTAACGTTTATTATTGAGAGACAGGGCATGAGCATGGGAGGGGCAGAGAGAGGTGGAGACACAGAATCCAAAGCAGGTTCCAGGCTCTGAGCTGTCAGCACAGAGCCCGATGTGGGGCTCAAACTCACAAACTGTGAAATCATGACCTGAGCTCAAGTTGGATGCTTAACCGACTGAGACACCCAGGCACCCCAAGCCAGACTGAATGGGACTTTTAAAAATAAAAAGGGAATATTGGTAGGAGAAAGAATAGAATCTTTTAATTTTTTGCTGTCCTATAAATTCAAGATTAATTATGTTTTATACCAGTTTTATTGTCAAAAGTAATATCAGTTGTACTCCCAGAAAGGAAAAATGATTTATTTTAGGAAACAAATGTAATGCTGTTTAGAAATTGAAGGAAACTGGACAACAGATTATGACATGAAGGAGGCACTTTGGGCTGAAGTGGCACACTAGGTGCCTTGGCATTTCACTGGATTCATTAGGCTTTTGGTTGTAGCATTAAGGTAGTGGCAGCTGGTTTTTGTTAAATGAACACTGTGCTGGAAATCAGGAGACCTGGATGACATCCTGGCCTCACAGCTTCATGACCTCCAGCAATTCCAAATCACTTAATTTTTCTGTAACATTTTTTCCTCTACCAGATTTCTTCATGAGAATTTTAGACCTGGCAAGGGTCCCTGGAGATCATTCTACTCCCGTCTCCCTTAAGTTTACTGAAACCCGGAAAGGTTAAGCAACTTAAGAATACTTAGGGCACCTGGGTGGTTCAGTTTGTTAAGCATCGGGCTTCAGCTCGGGTCATGATTTCACGGTTTATGAGTTTGAGCCCCGCGTTAGTCTGGCTCTCTCTCGTTAGCACAGAGCCTGCTTGGGATCCTCTGTCCCCCTCTCTCTCTGCCCCTCCCCACTCATGTGCTGGCATGCTCGCGCTCTCTCTCTCAAAAATAAACATTAAAATTTTTTTTTTCAACGTTTATTTATTTTTGGGACAGAGAGAGACAGAGCATGAACGGGCGAGGGGCAGAGAGAGAGAGGGAGACACAGAATCGGAAACAGGCTCCAGGCTCTGAGCCATCAGCCCAGAGCCCGACGCGGGGCTCGAACTCACAGACCGCGAGATCGTGACCTGGCTGAAGTCGGACGCTTAACCGACTGCGCCACCCAGGCGCCTCTCAAAAATAAACATTTAAAAAAAATTTAGTATGATATCAGAAAACCCAGAGCTGGACAATAGTTAATGCAATAAAAACATTCAGAAAAACTATTGCAATAGAGGAAAACAGACCTTGATATAGAACTGGACTCAACTCTGAATACATCAAGGAAAAGCAGACGTTTATAGCCAGGGAGCAGAGTGGGGGCGGGGGAGTCAATGGATGGAAAATTACTACATCAAGAGTAAAGGGGGGGGGTTTCTGGCTTAACCCAGCTGACAGGATTCTTGCTAAAATTAGACAATGCAGGGAAGAACAAGGAAGCCCAAAAGTCAGGCCCTAGTTGAAAAGAGAGTTCTGAGGAGACTAACGAAATTTTGATTGAGAGACTGTTAGCACTAACATTGAAACCCAGATGTCCCTAGTCTTTATCATCAACCATATATTTTTTTTAATGTTTATTTTATTTTTTAATTTTTTTTTAATCTTTTTATTTATTTTTGAAGGAGAGAGAGACGAGCATGATCAGGGGAGGAGCAGAGAGAGAGAGGGAGACACAGAATTTGAAACAGGCTCCAGGCTCTGAGCTGTGAGCAGAGAACCCGATGTGGGGCTCGAACCCACGAACCATGAGATCATGACCTGAGCCGAAGTCGGACGTTTAACCGACTGAGCCACCCAGGCGCCCCATTTTAATGTTTATTTTTGAGAGAGAGTGTGTGCAAGCTGGGGAGGGGCAGAGAGAGAGGGAGAGAGAGTCCAGAGCAGGCTCTGAACTGTTGGTGTGGAGCCCAACTTGGGGCCCCAACCAAAGAATGGTAAAATCATGACCCAAGCTTAACCAACTCAGCCACCCAGGAGCCCCAGTCATATCTCTTTTATAAGAGCACTTTTAGGTTGTCGGCTCTTAGTAGCAAGGGAAACTACACACCTTGTTTTTCATTTATTTTTTAATCTACATGATGTTTCACAGAGACCAGGGCAATTTTTTTTTCTTTTCTTTCTTTCTTTTTTTTTTTTTTTTTTTTTTTTTTTTTTTTTTTTTTTTTTTTTTTTTTTTTTTTTTTTTTTTTTGAGAGAAAAAGTGCTAGCTGGGGAGGGGAACAGAGGGGAGAGCGAGAATCCCAAGGAGGCAAGCTCCGCACTGTCAGCACAGAGCCCAATTTGGGGCTCGACCCACAAATTACTAGATCATGACCTGAGCTGAAGTCCCACGCTTAACCAGCTGAGCCACCCAGGTGCCCCAGACTAGGGCAATTATTTTCAAATAAATGTACTTGTTTAGTAGTGTCTGTTGTCCGGGTTGCTGATAGAATGGAAGAAAATGCAAGGGATTCTGCCACAGTGCATTCAAAGATGAGAAAACTAGTATAGGTTCTTTTCTATTTTTTCTTAAGTTTTTTATTTTAATTCCAATGTAATTAACATACAATACAATATTCAATACAGTCAAATATAGCACGATATAGTGAAATCCCATCACCTATTTCACCCCCCCATCCACCTCTGCTCTAGTAAGCATCAGTTCCCTATAGTTAAGAGTCTGTTTCTTGGTTTATCTCTTTTTTCCCTTTGTTTTGATTCTTAAATTCCGTATGAGTGAAATCATATGGTATTTGTCTTTCTCAATCTGACTTATTTCTCCTAGCATTATACTCTCTAGCTCCATCTATGTTTGCAAATGGCAAGATTTCGTTCGTTTTTATGGCTGAATAATATCAACTATATACATACCACATATTCTTTATTCATTCATCTATCCATGCTACTTACATAATTTGACTATTGTAAATAATGTTGCAGTAAACATAGGTGTGCATATATCTTTTCAAATTAGTGTTTTTGTATTTTTGGAGTAAATACCCAGTAATGTGATTACTGGATTGTGTGGTAGTTCTATTTTTAATTTTTTGAGGAAGTTCCATACTATTTTCCCCATAGTGTTTTCCACAGTGGCTGAACCAGTTTGCATTCCCAATGGATTATTTTCTTACTGCTGACTAAAAGCAGCTTTTAAAAATTACACTTACCTCTCATAGCAGAAAATGAAGACCTTGTTTGGTTTTGCAAATCAAACAAGAATTTGCTATTTTTAAAGGTGCCTCCGTCGCTTAAGTGTTGACTCTTGATTTCAGTTCAGGTCATGATCTCACTGTTGGTGAGTTTGAGCCCTACATTGGGCTCTCCACTGTGAGTGCAGAGGGATGCTTTCTCTCTCTCAAAATAAACAAACTTTAAAAAAAAAAAAAGTGCTATATTTAGTCAAAATCAAAATGCACAGTGAGCAAAATGATTTTTAGATTTATGTAGAGTATTTTCTAACTCTTGCAAGAGTCAAACATTTAATTTTAGTA